CTTCCGAATCCGAACTCACGAAAACCGATAAGAACAACCGATCAACAAATGATAATTTCGATCTCGATTTGGATTTCGATCTCTCAGAGTTCGTCTTCGCTGCTTTTGTCTTTTCATTTATTTATTTTTTCGGAATCCAGGTAAAAGTTTAACCTATTCTGCAAATCTGCAGTGACATCAAAGGAATCGTGTCCGCGTTGCACCTGATCAGAGACAAGGCTCAGAAGGATGGTCAGAAGAAGAACGAAGAGACAATTTCCAGGTACTGCGTTTGCGTACGTTTCAATCCTACCCGAAACGTTTCTGTCACCGTAGTTTGAACTTCGAAGATTGTGCCTGGAAAGATTCGAATAATGCGTAGAAGGTTTTAGCGGTTTTGATTCAGATTGCTTCTTTCATGTGATCCAGAAACATGCATGCTTGACGTGGACTTGTAAATTTGCCAAAAATATCGATCCTAACATTGAATTCGAATTAATGGAGCTACAAATTTGATGCAACCGCCATTTTATTTTCTAGTTTGTTGTTTGCATAATCAGTGTTTTGGTGACTGTTGTTTTTTGTTTGTGATAGTGTGGGTTTTGAGGTTAAGTCTATGATCGAGGGATTGAGGTCAAAAATTGAGAAGGACAGGTAAACTTGAAGTCTGAATTGTATGTTGTTTTGACCTTTTTAATATTTTTTGCCGCTTCTTCACTGTATTAAACAGTATGTTCTCGTTGCAATGTCAGGCAAAGCATTACTAAAGCACTTTCGAAGAGTTCCAAAGAGGTTTGTAGACGATTATGGTTTCTGCATGATATTGAATAGTGGTAATGGAGTCATAAATAGCAAGGGGATAATTTGTGTGTTCCCAAAACTGGTTTAATCATTGTTTTTATTACGAGCATGCAGTACGAAAGTTCCTTGAAGAGTGAAACTACCAAGTTTCAAGCACTTCACGAGAATTTTTGCAAAGAGAAAACCACTTCTCTGCAGGCACTGAAAGGTACTCCCTCTAAGATTTTCATTGTGGACTAACTAGCTTCATCTGTTGTGAACGTAATATCCCCTTTTCTTAAATAACTGAAACTGCTTGTGTTATCTTATTGTGATTCTTTGGCAGTTTCTAAAATATATACTAGTGGTAAATCCTGTGAAATAATGTGTTACTTATGAAATATATAATAGTGTTAATTCATCTGTTAGAATTAGATAATTGTACTCTTTGCTGGTTAGACGTTAACTACTGTTCTGTCCATTGATAGATATTATCTCCAAATTTGAAGAGGAAAAGGAAAAACTATTTGTGCGATACGAACAACTGAGTAAGCTATATCATTTAATCTGCCTTAATGATAATAACAACCTGAATTCAATAATTTTATTTTCTCTACAACGTTACGAATGCTTCAGGGAAGAAAGAAAGAATTATGATATCTGAACAAGAAAAGGCCTGCAATGAGAAAATTTCCCAACTGGAAGAGTCATTGAAAAAGAAGAAACAGGTAAATTAAGCAGTGGGATATAGTTTTTTTCTGTTGCATTCTGTCCGTCTCTCTTTGATTCATATATTCACCCCGGCATTAACATAACCGATTGATTGTCTTTTGTCTCACAGGACGATAAAACTTTCAGCATTCTTAGAAAAACTCTTGGTTCGTTCTTGGAAAGTACCTCGGACGAGGAATTCCCACCTGATGACTAAGACTGCAATGCGCAGATCGTCTGATGTGTAAAAATCACTGATTCTATTAATTTCACTGGAAAATGTGATCATAGATAAACTTAAGATGAACTCTCTTTACACAGTTCACTTTAATCTCTTATAACAACCAAACCAGGTGTTAAAAATAGTTCTTGCACCACAAATTCAGGACAATATCTGCTTATATTATGATATATTTTTCTTTGTTCATGCAGATGTTTCTCCTTCTTTTCTTTCTACCATTGTTGCTGATTCTGATTAAATTCCTCTAAGTCCGAGCGCATAGCTATAATATATAGAACCATTTGTTTTTCAGTGGCTCTAACCTTCGAGAAGACATTCAGGTTGGTTTAACAGTCTTAATCTTTCCAAATCCTATCGTCAATAAAAATCTTTAATTGACCTGTTTGGAAAAGTAGGAGAAAAAATATAACATTGATAAATTTTTTACTTTTAAATTCTACACAAACATATGAAAGATCTCGTCTCATTCTTTTTTTTTTTTTAATTTTTAAGGAGAAATTTGGTCCGTGAAATTCAATATATTTGAATAGCTATAGCGTTAAAAAGATACCAGCAAAATCGTTTATTGTCCACCCTCGTAGCACTAGTGCATAGATAATTGAAACAACTGTTGTAGTTAACTCTGTTATTTGTTAGAGAGATATAGGGTGATTATGTTTTTGTATGTGTAGCAGTTGTTTTTCTGTACAAGATGCGTGCATAGGTATGAATATGTGAGTTTACATGATCAATGCAAAACACTTCCTTTTATAATCTTCTTCCCTTTACGTGATTTTTTTCCCCCAGCATATTGAAGAGACAGTATAGGAAACAGAGCCTGTCACGTTTTAGCATGACAAATGACATTCTATAAGAACATGGAAATAAGGCCAAAATTAACTCTACTTGTTAGAATAAAAAGTGAGGACAAATTGAGGTAAAACATAATCGACGATGAAAACCATTTCAGAATACTGACATTTTATCTCTACATTAAATTATAACAGCTAAAATGTTTTTCTTAGATTATGAATGAATAAATTATAAGAAATTCAATCCACTAATAATACGAATTGAGTTCATTAGCACCACATATAATAAAATGTGATATCAGTTGAGAATACATTTACGAGTTTAAATTTTATATTAAATAAAACATGAGAAATTAAATTTTATATATATATATATATATCAGAATACTGACATTTTATCTCTACATTAAATTATAACAGCTAAAATGTTTTTCTTAGATTATGAATGAATAAATTATAAGAAATTCAATCCACTAATAATACGAATTGAGTTCATTAGCACCACATATAATAAAATGTGATATCAGTTGAGAATACATTTACGAGTTTAAATTTTATATTAAATAAAACATGAGAAATTAAATTTTATATATATATATATATATATAAACAAATTCATAAACTCATTCTCTCAATTTTTTTTTATTAGAAGTGAAGTACATTCTTTAATATGAGTTTGACTCGAATCTAACTATTCTTTAATCTTTAAAGTGAAATCCTTCAAACACTCGCAAGCGTTACTTTCTTTAAAAAATTGAATGAGTTGGCACCACGTTTAAAAGGCGGATTCCCTTTTTGGTCTCCACTTCTTTTCCTATAATCATAAAACTGCCATGCTTGACTTCTAATCTAGCTCATACTTGTTAATTTATCTAATAGGATTATTTTATCTTTTTATTTACGCAAAAGGATTGACTTTTTAAAATTTTAAAAAATAGGTGAAGTTTGGGAGGACAACCTAAAAAGTTAGAAGTTGTACCATTTAGGTCTATTTCAATTAAGTCAGATTTGTCTGTCTGAAGTTATATGAGATGGAACGACTTTAATTTTATTTTATTAAGTTAAGTCATCATATTTATGAAAACTTGTTTAAAATTTTTTTTTTCTATTATAGCTGAAGTCTCGGCACGACTTTAGTTTTTTTATTTTATTTTAAGTAAAGTCATTAAATTTATAAATAATTGAGTTAAAAACAATTTTTTTTCTATTATGATTGAAGTCATACGATATGACACGACTTCAACATTTTTATTATTAAAGTAAAGTTATTTCGTATGTATTAAGACTTTCGTTAAAAACTTTTTTTCTATTATTGCTAAAGTTATACAGTAAATACAACTTTAGTTCTTTATTTTTTTTTTTAAATTTCAAAATTTTATTTTTTAAGTCTTTTATATCAATAGAATGCTCCGAAAATTTTAATATTTTAATTAGTTTAATTGAATATAGTTATTTATTAATAGAATGAATGGCTGGAAAATTTATTAGAATAAAGACTAAATAAATTATATAATTCTTAACTAATATAGAAAATTTATAGAGTGGGAAAATAAAGAATACAAAATGAAACATCATTGTCTATTGCCTATTTGAACAATTTCTTTGATTATAACTTTTGTTACGATAATAAGAATATGTTTTTGGCCTACTTTGAGTTGATTGATTCATTTCATTATAAGTACGAGTAATAGTTGGCCTTCTTAATTATTTACTATGCATTTTAAGGTTTAGAATAAAGTTGAGACCCATATAGGTTGACCAATAATCCCATTTTGGATATGATGAAACTAAACTTTGTAACTCTTGCAAATGTTATTTAGATTGTACATATGGTCACAAAATGTTACTCGTTGTAAGTGGTAAAAGGAACAAACAACAATAACATAATAACAAGACAACTTCAGAACTTCAAACTCCTGTAGTCACCACCATTCATTTAACTTAATAAGGTATGACATTGGTTCATCTTACTGTATACATCATGTTCCTTCCACGTACATCACGATAATCAAAATGATAATAATATTGAACACAAATTTCCATGTCAAATGCTCTATCATTACAAGCAACATCTTTTGAACATGGAAAACATAAAAAACCGAAAAGATATAAAAAAAAATCAAACTGCTTTACACAGATAAATATTTATATTAGAATAATTATTTGATAATAAATTTTGATTTCAATTATTTTATTTTAATTATTTTTAATTTTTAATTCATTTTAATCATTTCAGTACTAATATCATTATGACTTTTTCTTTATTATTTTTGTCATGTATTCAATTAATTAAATTAATTAAATAAAATAACAAAAAATAAATATCATTAAAACATAATAGAATAAAAATTAAAAAAATCACTTTATTTTTAAACAAGATTAAATAATTTATATTTTAATATATTTAAAAAAATATAGAAAACATACATTAATAAAAAAATTATATATAATATGAATATAAATGAAACATTCAATCCAATTCAATCATGAAGAAAAGAAACACTTTAAAGACATTAAACTCTATCCATTTATATTTTAGACAGTCAATAGCATATGACAAGGATATTCAAGGGTTACAAATGAAAGAAATGAAAGAGAGGGACCAAGAAGAGGAATAGAAGAATGTCAAGTAAAACTTAATTATGGAAAAATTGCTTCCAAAATCTTATATTAAATAATGATTTCATATGGATGTGCCTCTTTGTAGGAAAGCAATTTTGATATTGATCCATAAATTCTCATAACTAATTTGTTTGATATACAAGGATGATAGATCCAATAGGCAGGCCACTAACAACCAGATTTTGCAGGAACTGGTTTCCTTTGTTGTATAGACCATGGAGGCCGCTCGTTGTGTGCCTGCACAAAATCCATGAGAGAAATTCTGGTTTAAATGAAACTTAATTGTATTAGCATAAAAATTCTATAGCATTAGCAAGGTAGGCTCAGTTGAAAATCAAAAGAGGAGGGTCTAACGAAGAAAGATAATAAACTCCCCTTAATGAAAATAAAAACCCCGTACAAAAGCAAAATCATTCTAGTCATCGTTAACTTGGATACGGGAAAGAGGATAAGATAAACTAATTACCCTGTTTTAATACACGGTTTAGTTAGTTAATGAGATATGCTTATTATACCACTTAACACTTTCCTAATCTTTAATTAACAATTAATCTGGTTGAGGGGAATGGGATACAAACTAACATGATAAGTTAACAGTTTTTTCTTCCCCCTTATCCCTATGCTACCACTTTGGGTTTCACTTGCACCCATCTCTGAACCCCCTCAGTACATTTGATCTGTCAAGCCCCTATTATCATGTATTTTTTTCCAGAGAAAAAAAATAGAAAGTGAAAATTGGAGTGGAAACAATGTCTATGATGGTATAAATTTGACTCGGAAGTTTGCTTTAACCGTTTCATATAGCTGGATTTAAAGCAAAGGGAAGAAAATTTCATTATTTCTGTTGCTATTTGAAGGGGCTATAGCCTACTATTTTTTCTGCATGTTATGGCTAATGGGATTCAGCAATTTCTTAGTGCAAATGCGGTAGTTCGTGCCAAAAAGCTATGGTGATGTTATTGTCATAGCTATCAAGTGCATGTCCCTGTCTGACCGCCTGATACAAACTTCATGTTAGTTCAAATTTCACTACTTTAACTGATATCTAATTAAGTATGGATAGAAAGTTAATGATTATGTCATTAATCAGAGTACATGCAGTCAGTTTGCTTTAATGCATTGCTACGGACAAATTTTTCATTCACCACACAAACAAGAGCAGCCCCGAATAATTCTGATGCAGACACCATCTATTGCATAATTTTCATTCAACTCATAAACATTCTCTCTCTAATAGGAAGAATGTGCAGCAGCAATACAATATAAATGGTACATATTAAAAAATCAAACAAAGTGTCAGTCAAAAACATTTTAAAATAATAAAATGAAATAATTTCATAACTGAAAACAATCAACATAAATTAAAGTGATATAGGTCAGATTAAAAATGTAGCAATCAATTGAAAATAATAAATATAAGAATTTCCTTTTTGAACAAATCAACTTAAATTAAAAAGGGTCAGATTTGTAAGGCAATTTAAGGTCAATGTTGTTAATTTAGTCTGTAAAAATTAGGCATTACATTAAATTGACATATGAGATGTAATTGAGAATATATTATTATAGAAGAATATACAACAAAAAAAAGTCAGAAATATTAATTTGGTATCAAAGTTTCCTTCATCTTGTAGCCCATGCTCTTCAATCCTTTGAATTTCAACTTATAGAGGATGGTCTCTTCATCGAATGGATGTAAAGAATGTTTTCTTTCATGATGACCCAATAAAAGAAATCCATGTGACTCCTTCAGGTTTGTTATCCTCCTATGACATAGTGTATAAAATAAATTGCTCCTTATATGGCTTGAGAAAAGCTCTTAGGGCACAATTTGAGAAATTGTTTTACTTAAATTCTCTGTTAGCCAGTGTGACACCTCTTTATTTATTCATCACACAATTGTTGACATTTTTCATTCTTATCTATGTTGATGACATTGTCATTATGAGATCCAATCAAATCCATGCAAAGATTCAAACAACCACTTCAAGCTTCCTCTTCAAAATGAAGGATATTGATTACTTCTTAGGTCTTAAGGTCCCCTCTCACTGCAAAGGTATCCTTTCATCAACACCAATACAAATTTAATTTCTATGGTTTCCCTTCAATCTATTACCTCAACGGATACTCGTCGAGGTTAATGTCAAATATCATAATAAGGGAGATCTTTTACACAATCCATTGAAGTATTGCCAATTGGTGAGTGATGAGTAGTCTTAACTATTTTGTGTACTCCTTATCATTTTCACTTGGCTACGTTGGATTGAGTGTTTACCACTAAAGCCAAAAGTTATAGGTAATAGATAGGAACAATTCTTTCTACTTAAAAACATAGTATTCCTATCATCATGGTTCAATTGCGACTTGGCCCACCTGGAATCCGTCTTAGGACAATTGATGTTACCTGTAATTATCTCATCCTCAACACTTATCCTATTGAGAATCAAATTCGTGACTTTAGCTCTAATTCCAATTGTTGAATCAAGCACTTATCACTAGGTCAAAAGCTATAACTAATAATAAGGGCTCAACTTTTTCTACTTAAGAAGATAGTGGTCCAAGCGTCATGGTTCTATTGTAACTTGACCCACCTGCCCTCCACTTCAGTACAATTGATATCATTTGCAACAATCTGGTCCTCAACAATTGTTCTCGTAGAAATCAAACTTGTGACCTTGGCTTTAAGACCAATTGTTAGAATGAGCACTTACCACTAGGCCAACTAATAGTCAGGGTGCAACTCCTTTACTTAGGAGTGTGGCTACCAAAATGCCACAATTCTATTGTGACTTAGTGTACCCTACCTCCACCATGGAACAATTGATATCACGTGCAATAACTATTATTCGTCACACTATTTGTTTCTTTTGAAGGGAACTTCTCAATGCAATTTATTTTTTCTTGCTAGTTTGTCTCTTTGATTGCCTACAGTGATGCAGATTGGGCAATCTATCTAGATACTAGGAGGTCTATATCTAGTTGGTGCATGTTTCTTGGTCCTACTTTGGTTTCTTGGAAGAGTGAAAAGAAAGTCCATGTTTACAAGTCGTCCACGTGAGTCTAAATATCAAGCTATGTTTTGACATTATTTGGATGTTTGTTGGCTGAACTTGGAATTCTTCCAAGCAATGTCACACCTCTCCATGTTGACTAGTGGAACAACTTGCCACTAATTTGATTTTTCATGTGTGCAGTGAGCATTGGGGTGGATTGTCAGTCTATTCATGAAGCTCTTAATAATCATGTCATCTCTCTTCCTCGTGTCAACTTGGGACTTCAGCTTGCAAATAATTCTACCAATTTTGTTCCATGTCCCACCACTAATTCTTTGAAGCAAAGTGGTGCATTCTTGAGCAGCCTAATAATTGTTGTTGTTGTTTCCTTTTATATGGGTTACAAGAATCAGCCTAGAAATAGTATATATTTAGAGTTCCTATTTTAGCTCGCACAAAGTAAGAATTGTATTAAACTGTCATTAGAGGTGCAATTGACAATGTATAATTTATAGAAGAGTATAGAACGAAAGTAAAGCAAGAAACAATAAATTCCTGCCATTCTCTGTTCCACTTCAAATATAGGACAAGATACCACGATACACCTATGAGTTATATAGTATGCATATAAGTTATATTACGATGATATTGTATCTAAATTTGTCCAACTCTCACATGCTATCGTATCTTATCCACTAATTACGACCTGAAGGTTTCAAAGAGTAGTTCTATTCAGAGTAAATCCCACTACATTGGCAGAGAAAATACTAGGTTTTTTAGTCATTGGCGGCATCCCTCCAGTATTTTCCATTTCTAAATATATCAATCACCAATAACAATTCAAATAAAAGTTACACACATCCATTATGTATTCAACCACAACATGTAGATATTATAGTCTTTGTATAATCTAAATTTCATTCAAAATGTTTAAAAAAGTTAAAGGGAATTTTCCTTTCACAGAACTTTCAATTACTCCACAGTAATTCATGATAATATGTCTGGTAAACCTAACCTCGTCTCAAAAGAAAACTATATTTTTGAGATAAAGTACTAAATACATAACAGTTAACATACCCCAATTTCTGTCACAAATTGGCATGAGGAACACCTAACATGTGAAGCACCAAATGGGTACATTAGCAATACCGCACAACTGCCACACTCAACTTGCCCAACCTGATCAGCTGTAAGGAATGGGATATTGATTTAAATATCTCACCACGCAAAAAAGAGAATGCCATAAGTCATGATTGACAAGGAAGTAAGGCAACTTCAAGAAAATATAATACAGTTTTATAAAGAACTGAAAACATCAATATATGAAGGATTTTTTTAAATAAAAGCTTCATATCACTGTGGGATTAGAGGTGCCAACTGACACCTCTAGTCCCACCTATCATTTGCAGCACATCAAAGAAATTTATGTAAAAGAGAGACAATATAAAAGGATCATGAGGGGACTAGACCAAAACTCACGAAAAAAATTTGAGAACTGAAATGGTAGCAATGCCAATGAGAAAGATGAACAACCTTCTAATACAATGTTGACAGCCTCACAGCATGAACATTTAACATGTTTGGCACTTCGTGGATAAGAAAGCAGGCGGTGACAAGAACCGCAGACCATCTGACCCCAACCTGTTCACACAGCTTGCCAGTCAGAGTGATCAAGTAATAACCAATTTCATTAAATGGTTATAAAAAAAAAGCAATGACTCTTTCAGGGATATCAACAAAAAACCAATTCCTTTAACTCTTTCACAGACTTCAAACAACAAATTTGCGATATTGCATTCAAACCCCTTTCTGCATCTGTGCACCTACTCAGAATCACATTAACTTGAATCTCGAAGCTATTAAATGTAAAGAGTAAACCCTAACTCAACAACACTCGTGGCTCACAATCCTGATTAAAAGTGAAACACATTCCCCAAATAAAATGAATGCGCGTTTTAAAGTTCAGTAGTTCAGAAGAAAAAACATGTAATCTACTTAATAGTGCAGTTGATGATTCAAAAGGCGTGAACAATTTTAAAAGCTGATAAATTTGCAGACGAATAAAACAAATGAAAGCAATGCAAGTAGTAGAGGGTTTTGAAAAGAAAAGTATAAACTGACCACATGGACTAGGAGGTGGTGGTTGCGGTTGCGGTTGCGGTTGGGGTTGCGGCGGCGGTTGCTGTTGCGGTGGCGGCGGATGATTTGTGATTGGTTGCCACCCCGGTGGGGGGCCTTCATCGTCTTCCTCTTTGTCTGTTTGTTGACTATGCATCTTTCTCGCTGCGCTGCCTAGTATCGATCACTTAGTTTACCTGTGTATGCTATTTCGTGCTCTTTTCTTCTTCAGCAGTAATATATCATTCTTTAAAACTTAATTTTTTATTTTGAATAATTTAAAATTTATAGAGAGCGTATTTTGCTTTTATTACGGTAAAGATTAAAGAGTATATTTTAATATAAATTTTGAAATAATTTATAGAAGAAGAAAAAACCTCTTTTGAGGGTAAAATTAAAAAAAAAAAAATATATATATATATATATATAGATTTGTTTTATTTAAAACCTAAAATTTTGGAGTCTGAAATAAAACACTACCAACTTAAATAGTAAAAGAAATTAAATTTTATTACTTTAATTATATTCTTCAACTAATAAAATATGATTGATTATCCTAATTAGAGTTCAAACATAAATAATCATACTTTAACCTTAAAGTTAATTTGTTTTAGAGTTGATTTTCATTGAACTTGTTCAGTATGAGTAGTTTGATACAAAATCGAATGGTCTACTTAATGACTTTTTGGGTTTAATGGCTTGTTCGACATATTGATGATTGACAATCCGATTTAATGCATGGTTGTCCGATCTATTTGGTGATCGTTCGGACTTAATGACTTGTTTGTCGAGCTGGTATTTAACTATTTAGTCTAGTGCACAATTGTCCAGGCTCATTGACCTATTTGTCGAGTTAGTGTTTGGCCATCCTGTCTGGTGCATGTTCATCCAAGCTCATTGAACTGTTTGTCAAGCTGATAGAGTACCATCTGATCTAGTACACGACTATCCGAACTTATTGACCTGTTTACCAAACTAGTGTTTGATCATTCAGTTTATAATTGATCGTTCCCTGATCAAACATTCAAATAGGTTTGCAATTATGAATGTCATCTACTAAAAAAATAATATTTTATTTGTATGATTCCTAAAGTAAAAATATTATTTCATAAGAATACATGTTCTCTATTATTACTCGCTTATTTATTATTTTAGTTAATTAAAAAATTGCTTCTTTATCCAATCCGTTTGGTGGTTAGAATAACAATGTAAAATAATCAAATTGGTTTGTACTTGAAGGTTATAAGTGACCTAGNCTGGTGCATGTTCATCCAAGCTCATTGAACTGTTTGTCAAGCTGATAGAGTACCATCTGATCTAGTACACGACTATCCGAACTTATTGACCTGTTTACCAAACTAGTGTTTGATCATTCAGTTTATAATTGATCGTTCCCTGATCAAACATTCAAATAGGTTTGCAATTATGAATGTCATCTACTAAAAAAATAATATTTTATTTGTATGATTCCTAAAGTAAAAATATTATTTCATAAGAATACATGTTCTCTATTATTACTCGCTTATTTATTATTTTAGTTAATTAAAAAATTGCTTCTTTATCCAATCCGTTTGGTGGTTAGAATAACAATGTAAAATAATCAAATTGGTTTGTACTTGAAGGTTATAAGTGACCTAGTTATTTCCCAGCCTCCCAAATGTCTAAGTTGTCATAATCAACTTGGTTTGAATGCATGTCTTAGGTAAACAATCGGTTTTAAATTGTTGTGCAAATTTACAAACCACTAAATCATCCTACCATATGTTGGCTACCTAATATTTTCCTCTCCACTCCAGCTAGTCAACACACACATACATATATTATATTCACCTTTTGTATATTGAAAGCACCATTTTTCTAGTGATAAACTCTGCAATAAACCATGACTAAGACCAAGAGACTTCTCACACTTTTCCTAAGGTTCCTTGCCATTGGAGCAACAATAGCAGCAGTGATTGTAATGGTGACAAGCCATGACTCTACTCAGGTCCTAAACCTGACCTTCACTGCCAAATATAGCAACGTCCAAGCATTCAAGTGAGACCACCCTTCTTTTCTCTCTCTGTTTCTCTGCTGTGTCTTCAAAATACATCGATTTTGATAGCTGCCAAAACATAACTATACAAACTTTCTGAAAATTTGCTATGTGTAGGTTCTTTGTGATAGCAGAAGCCATAGCATGTGGATACAGCATAATTCTCCTTTTCACATGTTCCAAAACTTCACTTTGGCGTTTGGTTCTGATCCTGGATGTGGTAATATTATACATCAGCAACCACCACTGTAACTTGTAATTGAACCTCTTTGAGTCGTAATAAAAACTAACACATCATTTTGATCAGGTGATAGCAATGCTACTCTCTTCAAGTGTGTCAGCAGCACTGGCAATAGCTCATGTGGGCAAGAAAGGCAACACTCATGCTGGTTGGTTACCTATTTGTGGACAAGTTCCTAAATTTTGCGATCATGTCACTGGAGCTCTTGTTGCTGCTTTCGCCGCAGCTATAATATACTTTCTGCTTATTTTTTCTTCGCTTTACTCTGAGAAGAACACCCTCTTCCTGTAAAACTTGCAACACATACATCACCACTCAATTGTTTTCTTGATTCTACGTACCTATGTAGCATCTTTTCGTTCTAGCTCTGGGCCCTTTACTCTCTTTGTACTGATTTATTAGTTCACAGATAGATAAATCAATATCATTGCACTGATTCATGTGAATTGTCTTCTTAATTTTATTGCTCATCATTGATGTGTTAGTCACCGACCAGATTATTTGCTGTCTGTTTGTTATCTAAATTTTTATCTGCCGTACTTCAATTAAAATTCAACTCCAAACTTCATTTATCAGAGTGATAGTGAGTTTCGTTTCCTTTAAGAGAAACCAAATTGGGCTCTGCAAAGAGAAAAACTTGTTAAGAGGAGATATCCTTTTCCTTAGGTTCAAACAAAGATTAAGCAATGACAAAGTAATTTTTTTTTAATATTTAATTAAATTGAACTTGAAATTCTAATTGTAAGACTTTTCTTGTCGAATTTGAAATCATTGGTTAAACTAAATTAAGGTAGTTGATGGAGGGAAGAAAAGGGGGAAGAAAATCTGCAGAATACGAAGCAGTGGTAAGTGCAGGCCGGAATCTTAAACGCCTCCAACAAGCGCACGCTCACCTGGTGGTGACGGGCTGTCACCGGAGCCGAGCTCTGCTGACCAAGCTTCTCACGCTATCGTGCGCCGCGGGTTCCATCGCCTACACTCGCCGCCTCATCCGCTCGGTCGCCGACCCAGATTCTTTTCTCTTCAATTCCCTCATCAATGCCTCTTCAAAATTCGGTTTTTCTCACGATACCATTCTCTTCTACCGTCGCATGCTCCACTCTCGCATTGCCCCTTCTAGCTACACCTTCACCTCCGTCATCAAGGCCTGCGCCGATATCTCCCATCTCCGACTCGGCACTCTTGTTCATTCCCACGTTTTTGTTTCTGGGTATGTTTCAGATTCCTTCGTCCAAGCAGCATTGGTCACGTTCTACGCGAAATCATGCAAACCTCGCGTTGCGCGGAAGGTGTTCGACGAAATGCCTCACAGAAATATTGTTGCTTGGAACTCCATGATTTCGGGATACGAGCAGAACGGGCTATCCCGTGAGGCTGTTGAGGTTTTTAACAAGATGCGTGAGACCAATGTCGAGCCTGATTCCGCGACATTCGTTTCGGTGTTATCCGCTTGCTCTCAACTGGGATCGCTTCATCTAGGGTGTTGGATGCATGAGTGCATCGTTGGGAGTGGGATTACAATGGACGTGTTTCTTGCTACCTCGTTGGTGAACATGTTTTCACGGTGTGGTGATGTGGGAAAAGCACGTGCAGTTTTCGATTCGATGAACGAGGGGAATGTTGTTTTGTGGACCGCTATGATATCAGGGTACGGGATGCATGGTTACGGTGTTGAGGCAATGGAGGTTTTTCGTCGAATGAAGGCACGTGGGGTGGTACCTAATAGTGTTACTTTTGTTGTTGTGTTATCTGCATGTGCGCATGCAGGGTTAATAGATGAAGGTCGTGCAGTGTTTGCAACCATGAAGCAAGAGTATGGTGTGGTGCTAAGCGTGGAGCACCATGTCTGTATGGTTGATATGTTGGGGCGAGGTGGGTTGCTCAATGAAGCATACAAGTATGTGAAAGGACTTCGATCTGAGGAGCTTGTTCCCGCAGTGTGGACGGCGATGCTTGGAGCTTGCAAGATGCATAAGAATTTTGATATTGGTGTGGAGGTTGCTGAGCATCTCATAAATGCAGAGCCAGAGAATCCTGGTCATTATGTGTTGCTATCTAACATGTATGCGTTGGCTGGGAGGATGGATAGAGTGGAATCGGTTAGGAAGGTGATGATCCAAAGAGGCCTAAAGAAGCAAGTGGGTTACAGCACCATAGATATAGATAACAGGAGTTATCTTTTTAGCATGGGTGACAAGTTCCACCCTGAGACCAATGAAATTTATCGTTATTTGGATGAGTTGATGTGGAAGTGCAAGGTTGCAGGCTATGCACCTGTACTTGAGTTGGCGATGCATGAGTTGGAAGAAGAAGAAAGAGAGTATGCCCTCAGATACCACAGTGAGAAGCTTGCAGTGGCCTTTGGGCTGATGAAAACTGGTCATGGAGTGATACTAAGGGTTGTCAAGAACCTTCGCATTTGTGAAGACTGTCATTCAGCATTTAAGTTCATCTCTGTTGTAACGAATAGAGAGATAATTGTTCGGGATAAGATTCGTTTCCATCATTTCAGAGAAGGCTCGTGTTCTTGTTTAGATTATTGGTGATGGAATTTAAAACTGCCTGAATCTCATTATTAGTTTTATTTACTAAAGATAGTAACAAAGAAGAGTACTACTTTATAACAACACATTACGCATTGCACATACTAATGAAAATTGAGAAGTCAGTGGGATATAATGGCCTTTTAAAAAAAACTATGATATGGAAGCATTAAAGTCTGGAAGCATGATCCACCATTATGAATAAAGACAACGAGAAAAAAGGTGTTAAATGCTTTCTAGAAATCATAAAATGCCCTCTAAGAAATGATGTTTTATCTTAAAGATTGAATTAAGTATTTTCATGCAGGTGGTGATTGTTTTTCTCTCATTTTTCTTTCTCTCATAATTTTGTATATTTATGTCTCAAACAAAACAGATTATCTCAAAGTAACAACAATGACTACCAAAGGATTCTTCACTTATTCTCCACCTCTTCAGTATGTCATAATACATTAGTGAGTCGTCATTATATAGAGGGAAATACAAAGCAAATCACTCCAATAATTGTATTTCTTATTCCATTTTTTACTTCTAGAAGCTATGTTGTAATACATGCACATATCATAAGCACACTTATGATACTCTTGAACTTTTTATCAGCAGTAGCATAGCACCAAACCACAAGGTTGGATTTGATATTATACAGATATGTAAACGTATAAATATTACACACAAGATTGGAATATCTAGGTCGGGATTTTTGGTAGTTACTTACAACTTTGTAAGTAAAGTTACTTTTGTAAATTAACAAACTGACTACAATCAATTCCTTTATCACAAAATGCCTCTACAAGCTTGGGGAAGAGCTTAGCAAGCATAATTTTAAATCCTGCTGAAGTTCCCTTCAGGTTTTCATCTTCAGATTTTCCAGTACCAAAAACACATCCAATGGAAGCTCCTTCAAGACATGCCTTACAAGCAAGAAGTATATTTTGGGAGCGGTTTCTGAAGTGCTCTTCCACCAGTTCTTCAAAATGCTGTATTAATCCTCATTGTCAGTTGCAAATCCAACAATATAATTACATTCAAAGATTCAGATGGACCACTTTTTTTGCACCATAATCTAGGAACTGGTCTATATACAGGATCCAAACCCTGGAATCCTCATTGCAATTAAGTGGAACAAACTTAACAGTGGAAATGAAAACCTACAGAAACTTAAGGTGATGCTGGGAAGTATGAGTACTTGGAAATCATGGACACAGCAACTAGTTCCGATCCCTTTGAATATAGTGGAACATATCTTTCACCAATTAATCAAGTTTATCATTTAAATATGCACCACATGTAGTTTGTGATATAGTAGAGTCGTATGCCTTTGTGTCTGTGTTCCAAGACACACCTTAATTGCATTTTATACACTACTAGTTAAACGAATGGTCAACATATCACTAATGCAGAGAAAAAAATTGATGAAAAGAATAGTATATAAGTAATAGTTTTTACCTTTGGTGGCTTTCTTAATACATACATCATCGATTTGGTTGTGACAAGGAAAGCATTTTCATTGTAAGTGACTGAGTTTTTCTCTCCCTCAGCCCTGCCAATTTGTTGGTCATATCCAGCCTCGTTGAAATAAGGCTTCTCATTAAGGACAAGTGCCTGTAGAGAGAGAAGGACTTGGAGAATTGTGGAGGCTCCAGGGTTCCACACTTCAGTGCCAGTGCCTGTCCAAGTGTTAAGGAGACTCAGACAGATTCTTCCTGACTCATACAAATTAGGATTTAATCGGAGGCCTCCAGATTTGTAGTGCACCATCTGCATGGGATTTCAAGAGACCATGGTGGAAATGAACAAGGGTACTGATGCATGGATCACAAATGAAAATAATTAACAAGCACTGCAATCTATATTTAAAAGCTTACGGGTGGTTCATTGGGATACTCCGGAGGGAAGCATATATCAAAAAAGAACAATCCCTCCTGATAAGGGGTTCCCGAAGCACCGACAATAGCTGCTCGCATGAGATCCATTCTTTCTTCAAAAACACGAACATAAATAGTTTCTGTTTTGATCAACAAAGATTGTAAGTGTATTTGCAGAAATTGCATACAACTTACTTTTCCAAACATTCATTTTGTCAAGTAAATGAAGTATTTAATGCATGGCCAACATGAAATCACATAAAGAAGCATTATATAACAACAAATACATCACTGTATATAAAAGAATGTGGTTCAAAATAATGAAGATAAAGTATGCACCAGGAAGATTTCTCTCGAGGATGCTCCATTCTTGCTGAACCTTTTTCACCCAACCTCTTTTTACCTACAAAGGAAAGATAACAATTAGCCTAATATATAAATGAAAGGATTGCTTGTAATTGTGTATCTTGTATACAAGTGACATGAGTACACTTTTTTATGGTGAAAACATATCGTAGTAAGAACAAAATCACTAAGTAATAATGAAAATTATTTTCTAAAATATTTTTAACTTTATGTAATGCAAGTGATGAACAATTTCTAACCTGTGATATAGGTAACCCTTTTCCCTCATCAAAAAAATGGTGATCAGGGCAATTTTCTATCACATCGAACTGCTTGAACTGGTTTGGACTGTTGGTGTCTAAAGAAAATGGAAACAAATCATTCTTCTCACAAGTCTTGATATTTTCAGGATATGAACTTTTGTCTTCAGTAGATTGCAGCTCAGTCATTGGATGTTGTTCAGCAAAGATATCACAAGTTTCCAAATCTTTCTTATCTACAAAATCGTATTCATTCTCTTTTTCAAATGTAGGTAACGCGGAAACTGCTCCTGAGAGTAAGGCTCCACTGAGTGTTTGGAATATGCTGGCTTTAATGCTGGAGAAAAGTTCAAAGGCAGCTCGAGGAAAGGAAAAAGAACTACATTCCCCAATATTCTTTTCACCATTCTCTCTACTAACAGCACCATTTAATAGGTCCTGATCATATACAAATGTGATACATCAGTTTATAATTAGGCACTTGCATTGACTCCTCCTAGTCAACAATTAATTGTTGAAAAATGTAATTTAGGATCATAATTGACATCATAATTTCCAATTTAAACTTTTTTGATAAAACAAAAAAGGAGTATCAAAGTTTCCTTATTGTTTTATGTTGCTGCATTAACTACCTGACTTTTTACTATAATTTCCAAGTTGAGACTTCTGTGTCGTAAATGTTCCAATTATATAATGCATTCTAGAAATGCTAGTAATGCACAACATTAAACATAAAACACTAGGGTGCACGCAGAGCTGAAAACATGTACTAAAGAAAAAACAAAAGTGTTCCTCACCTTTCCCTTCTGGTCTGAAGACAGACTCTCATGTTCAATCATCTCCCGAGTTAACTCTTCAACATTTGTCTCATAAGGAGTGGTGGCTGCAGTTGAATCTTCATGTTTCTCAATTCGAAGAATTTCATATGGTGCAACCTGTTGGGAAAACAAAAATGATTCTTACATTACTTCCACAAGATGAAAACTATAAAAGTAAAAGAACTAAAGGTAAAACATTTCTGTTTTACGAATAATCAACCACTTGAATGTTGGTTGCTTGAGCAACACGTGATAACCCACATTGTATATTTCTGGTAAAAGAATCACTCTTTGAACATAGCTTATCATTTCCAGATGATTAGTTAATAATGCTCAAAATCAAACTGAATAATATATCACCAATTATTCCTTTTTTATCATTCTTTAGTGGCCAATATTGGTGCAGTCCAAGTTCCCTAAAATCATTAAATATACAATGTGTAGTCCAAGTTTAGTTGCTTCACGTATCAAATCCACATTTTGATTATGAAGAGTTATCACTTATAATTCCAAAAGCTGTAGAAAAATCATTATAAACTAATGTCAACTACATAAACTAACATGTAGTAGTATACCAAGGCTTCAGCTCCGAAACACAGAGTCACATACAGTAGTAAATATCTAGATAGGACCACTAATTATCTGTCAAACTGTTCTCCTAGATAATTAGATATGGAAAGCATACATTTCATGAGTTCTATGGTACCGCATTCATCTAGCAGCTGCATAAACTACATGAACAAAGTAAATTGTATATCATACCTTAGTTGTGAAACCAGTTGCCCATGTCACCTCCACATTGCCATCTTTGAAACCAGTAACATTGCCAATACAGGACATGAAATTATCAGGGAACTCATCCTGATAACCTATTTGGTTCCCATTTTTGGGAACAGCCTCTGCATTCACGTCTGTCACTGATTTTTCTGTTTCTTTATCAGCTTGGTTGCCAAGCTGTTTTTGAGCCGCTTTGAACATAATATCACCAAAAAAGCAGGAGTAATCTGGGTGCTCTACAAGTTCATATGCACTCACAGTTTCCTCCAATTTTTCTCCAGTCAAATTATCTGGGTTGGATATGGAAATAGTTTTCCATTGTACCTTTACAGTACGCTCCTTTGCATCCATACATTGGACAACACCCCATCTTTGACTTCTATTTTTAAGAGGACAATCAGAAGCACCTTTTTCCAGAACAAACTGGTGTGGCCAAAATTCATGATTGTTTATAACATTCACAGGCAGTAAATTCTCTGGATCCAGTCCCAAAGTATGTTCACCATTTTGCCACACAACATCAACTTTGGTCTTTATCTTCCCAATTATAAACAACTCACCAATGTGAGAGTTAAAGTTATTTCTCTTATACTCTCTGGACACACATTGCTCCATTGTAAGATCACTAATAGGTGGATGCTGAATAGCCTCTTCCTCTTGGTCTACAACTGAAAGCATGCACCAATCTCCAAGGTGCCAGTTTGCATTCGAAAAACAAGATAGCACAGTCAAATTTTCAGAAGCTTGCCAGCATTGAGGAGTGCTCACACTCAAATTGCAACTCATAAGAACAGAGGAAATCCAATTAACATACACCATGCCTGCTTGCACAGCACAAACAGTTCCTTCATCACGATTGCGCTTCCAAGTATCACACAGCCATCTGGTTGGTTTAGAAGAATTGGAGGACTTAACCTCTACTCTCTGTCCAGGATAGTATGGATACTGTGAATCTTCAGGAAAATTACCAGTCAGTGGTAAAATTTTTTCTCTTTCCAAGGCAGTGATATCACATTTATCTCCATCATCAAACAATACAGTGACTTTGTCTACCACTCTTTGAACTCTACCAAGCCATGGCCCCTTAATTACATAATCACCTTCTTAAATGGAGCGAATCCTCAAAAGCTTCCTCGAGTTTACATTTTTTATTACTTTTCCTTTAACATTTTCCAAATCCACAAACACATCAACACTTGTTACCCTACCCATTTGTCCAGACAGGTCAGACAAGGAGCAGACCACATCTCCATGAACAAATGCTCTCTCGAATGAAAGAAAATCATCAATCCTTCCAATGGTTTCCTCTAAACTTGATAATATACTCTGAGCTTTTCCACCATATAGAAAATCCATTTCCTCTTGATCCTCACTGCTGTTGCTATCACTGGAAATCTCCCAGTCTGAATCACTAATCATAGGATCCATCAATTATATACCTGTCATAATATTTGATGGTAAGATCCACAAAGTTATTCAAAGTACAACAAATTAATATGATAACATGGCAATAGGGAAGAAAAGTTATTAGTCCATGTGTGGAAACTCTTACCAGATTCTGAAATAGATAGAACCAGAATTATTTTGCGCTAAATGGTATCTTGAGAAGAAAGGGCACAGACTGTTAATTTAGATGTAGAATTCAATCCTGTAGTTTTGTTATCTTGAATGAGACCTATGCATGAAAATCAACAAATTAGTAATCCATTTTCACTATTTAGAATTGTTGATGAATATATCTTTTAATTGTACACAAATTTTAATATATTCATCAATGAGTAAATGAATATCAAAAAGTAAATAGGGAGTCAAGAAGATCCTTACCTTCTCAAGAAAATTGAAGCATCAAACCCCAGTGTGTGTATAGTGATCACAACTTTTGCCACTATTGATTTCAATGGATAACTGTTGTACTACAAAATATTTCTAATTGATACTGATTTTAGTCACAAACAGTTTCTCCAAATGATTAGTCTGAACGTTGAAACTGGAGAGCTGAGGCCAAAGGAGATTTTCCGAGGATAATACAACCCAATCTTGATCTCTTTTTACCAATAGGATTATAGGAATCAAGGACTCCAAAATGCCAAAGGAGATATGCCCGACTTGAACGGAATTTTCACAGATGTAACCTTTGGAAGAGACTTACAACAACAAAAATGTCTACTATTGGGTAGTTTACTGGAAGAGAAAAGTCTAGCTATTAGAAGAAACAAACCAAGATAATCGAAAAGATGCCAAAGGAGATTTGCCCCCAAGAACGGGTGGAATTCCTAGTGAAATTACCTCTGAACGATAATACTCACCTTTTGAAAGCTGAATGATATTTTAAGAAGGCAAAATTTATTTTTCATATATTTTTACTACTTGAAATCTAACCAAAGGAGATTAGGAAACTTTTGCCAAAGGAGATTTGCCCAGTAGAACCGAATCTTAAATAACTGCTGGAAGAGAGCTTCGTATTCTAAGAGTGAGGGTTACACACAAAGGAGATCTTCCTCCACAATAATTCCTGACACTCTATCTTGTATCAAAAGAAATTGGCTAATATCCTGGACCAATAAGATTTCAGAGTTGCAATGAGGATTTAGCCATTCAACACAAACATTTTGTGCTCCTTGATTCACAGGAAAATGGAAAATTCAGGACACAAATGTCATTGGCAAAAGTACTTCTATTACTGGATCCTTCTTTTGAACCTGCAACAAAATGAATTGAAATTACTTATACTAACCTTTTACCAGTTACATTATGAAAAAAAAATGAGAATAACAAAAGAATGAAATTGCAGATAGCTCAGCTGACTACTTTAGACTGTAGCAACATAGTTCAGAAGCCAAGAGAAACCAGGATTGAGATAAACTAGAGAACTGCTCTCGATAAATAAATATGTTTGGTTGCACATCAAATAAACAAAATCGAAAGGCTTATTAAAAAATAGGAGAATTACCAAACTTTGTAAGAAAAAACAGTTGCACACAATTCATGGGTATTTTTCACCTCAAACTTCATGATAATGAATAATATCATTCCCCACCGTCCCTAGTTGGCTTTGAAAAAGACAGAAAAAGGAAAAGTAGCATAACCTATCCATAAAAACAATGATAATGTATAATCCTTTAAAACCAAATAGAATTTGCCATAGTCAAATAACCTTAACTTCATATTTTAATGAACCAAGGAATTCATTCGAAATAGCATCTAACGTAAATATGTTTCGTAGAAATCAACCTTACTTAATTCGGCATACATTAGAATCACTTAACAGAAGAAAGTTATAAAAGAAGAAAGCGAGTAAATAAGAAGACAAAGGGAAAGTACCTTTGCACATTTGAGATGGTTGGATCCACACAAAGTATAAACCCAAAAATGGTCCATGACTATAAATACCAAGTGAAGGAACTCCACACAGAAGAACCAAATAAATTTCTTCTTCTTAGCTAAGAATTTCAACCTTATTAGAAGAAGGAAGATATGAGTGTTGTTCAGAATTTCAGAAAGGCCTAGTTCCAGCATCCTCCATGTCACCACCAAGCTTAGAAACCATTGCAGAGTGACCCTCTTTCTCTCTGATGGTAAGGCTTATGATAAAGATGGGAACTTGTGTGTGTTAGTGTAACAAGTGGAGTCTTTTTGTTACATATAAATACTGTTATATATAAATTTGCCAATATACAGCAATTTCTTATCATTAAGCAAAGATATCTCTAGTTTATTCTCCTGCATATTCTTATCGTGTTACTTTTCTAGCCAAAACCAAAGAATATCCTTGATGCTTCAAAACTGAGTGGAATGATTTTACATAAAAATGTAGCGTCTGCATGATCTAAAAGACAATCTGTTAAGAATGTTTGAAGAGACAAGTGAATCAATCTTTTTTTTTCCTATTAATATACAGAATATACTGCACAATGTCCTTGACAGAAACAAAAAGGATATTATAAGCCAATCAGCATGGTTATATGAACTGAACCACAAGAGTAGAAGACTTTCTTTTCATAGTTACCAATATTTAAAGAATGTGATTTATGCACTAAGGCACTGTCTAGTTGGAAAAGTAGAACATTCCACTAACTGAAAATGACCAACTCCTAACAACTTTTCTCTCTTCCCATTCCCATATGGAATTTTAAACCTTCTCTTTTTTTCTTTTTATTCAGTGGACTCCAGATTGACAGTGCTTTTCGTACGTTGTTATGTTCTGCATATGCATGCTCCAGATTTGATTCCAAATTTCAATGACCTTTCATGATTGCTAGGTACCATGTTATGGAAAGATATATGAAGCTTCTTCTTTTATATTAGTCATGAATTGCATCAAAGTTTTGAACTTCTGACTTAACTGGCATAGCCCATTTGTTTGTGCTCACCTTTTCTGGTTCAATTCCTGCCCTTTATTGCTTTACTTTTCATGTTGACAGCCAAGGCTGAAAAGTCACTAATTTATTGGTTAAACCAATGGCCAATGAGAAATGCACCACAAGAACTTCTTGTTTCTGTTTAAAAGTTTCTTGAGCATCATAACAGAATAATTATGCTCATAAGCACTAAGTAGATAGATTGATTTCAGTTCAGGGATAAACTCGATTCATTCACTTCTTGTTTTCTTCTTTATAGATGTTTAGAAGCAATTTCCACACTATCTTAATCTCAATGGTAATTATTCAAAAATGAAAAATTAGGCAATAAGAAATATATGACCCTCAAGCATAGATATATACATATTTTGTGTGTAGAACTAGAGATTAATGGGTAGTCCGACAGCTAATGAAATGATATGTTCAACAAACACTAGGATAAACTTTAACGATAGCTTTGATATCATAAGAGATGGACTTTAAGTCTAATTCAACCCACAAAATCGGTTTGTAAGGTGATGTTTGCATTCACGTATATACTATAAATTAGTATATACTATAAATTAGTCTTACGTGGGACTTTCAGAATTCAAACTCGATACCACTTTAAACTCACATAATTAACATTATTTTCAACCCAAAACCATAAAATAATAAGTTTATGTTTTCTTTCATAATGATGTTCAACTTTTTCATTTATACATTCCAACACAACTTTCTGTTAGCCATTTTGATTCATATGTCATTAGTCATAAAACAAATTATATGCTCATGGATCTATGGTATTTGCTGATGATGCTAAGGCTTTATTTTTTCCATTTTGGCTCTCTGTCACATTACATTATTTCGAATATTCACATATAGGTAAAAACAGCACAAAAAATCCGTCAGGGGTACCATTTCGAATATTCACATATATACTCTGTCATATTGTTTTGGGTGTACGCAATATAATTTGCATACCATGATGTAAATCTCCACAGAATAAGGTGAAAGATCTTAATTGGTAGGGTTTGAGCCACCTGTACAGCATATAATTATAAACTTTTGAAATGGGTATTTACGTGTCAATTTTGTTAGATGATGACACTCTTGGAAAATGATACTATATCCATTATAAAATCATTCAACTTACTTTATCTTTTTTATAGTGAATAAAATTATTCGAAAAGTAATATATTTATTATTGTTCATGTGCTGCTTAAACTACAGTCATAATATTGACAGATGAAGGTGACATGGAATTATTCTATTTCCCGATAGTGCACACCTGAAATGCATAATCAAAGGTCACAAAAGTGCTTCCACACGCTTTGAATTGACAATATCAATGCTTGTGCAGGAAAACATCACCTAAAAGTGCTTCCCAAATCATGCTTATCCTCAACCTGTTCACTTTCTGAATTAACCAGAGGAAAATATTAGAGTAATTTTTATGTATTAATCTTGTAAAGCTTTATACTTTTAGTTTATGATTGAATGATCATTTTCAAGACAAACTGTTTACTGAATTAACATTAGAGTCATCCTTCCATAATACTTAATTACCAGAGTGGTGAAAATGAATCTGTGATTCCATGAGCACTTCAGGAATGGTAAACAAGAAATATATTAAGGTTGGTCAGTCCAATGGCCAACAAAACCATGTGTAGCACTAAAATTGCAAGGTTGAGAACAAAGGAAAGGTCTGCGTCAACTACTGTAAAAACTAGTTTCCATATCTAATAATTGAATTGGGCTTGTGAATTAAGAAGACACTTAATCATTAAACATTGAAGAGGATCTTTAGTCAAAGTATAATTACTAACAGAATTAAGATGTTTTTAAGAGAAGAATAGCATACTAACAATTACCAAAGGTCTTAAATACTAATTTGCTTCCTCTTTTTTTTTTCAAATTCATTTCAATTTTCATTAATTTTATTTAATTTAGTTATTATTTTTAAAGGCATTTAATTAATGGAAAGTGAACTGTATTTGTCATGTCAGTATTTTTAACTTTTTAACTTTTTAAATTTTTTTAATTCTATAAAAATTTTTTACAATAAAAGATCAGCATCATCAAAGTCAATGTTTTATATTTATTTGGTTTTTATATTTTTATTTTTTTAATTTTAGTTTCAATTATTTGAAAATTTGAATAATTTAGTTCTTCTTTAAATTTAACCCAAATTTAATTTTTGTATAATTGTTATAATGATGATTTTATTAAAATTTATATTTTTCTTAAATATTTTTAATTTAAGATTAAAGTTAGTTTAAAATTAAAAATAGAAAATGACACTTAATTTAAATTTTAAGAAATTAAAAATCACGTATAATTTAAAAAAATAGAAAGTGAAAAATAACATAGTTACTGTGAATTTATAATATATAATATATGTCTATATGAGATTTCAATATGTGATATGAAATCTTAGTTTGTGATGGTGACCCATGTTTGCTTTATATAGATTTTGGACAAGGTTGAGTGACACAAGTCTAATCCAAGAGCATGAAATTTTTTAAGAGGGAAAGATATCTACAAATGGTGCAGTGTGAAAACAAAAATAATGGTCACATGAACAGCAAGTTCTTTGTAACCACAACTAACTATACCAGTAAATCAAATAACAGTCCACTCTTAGATCTTTTCAAAGAATTTTATATAGCAGACAGTGGCCAGAAGTGGAGCAGCTGCTGCAACATAAAGTTTATTAAAATAATCATAATCAGAAACCATAGTGGAACCCGAAGTGCTTTGCAACTTCATTACTCATCAATAAAAATAAAAAAAACCAAACAACTAACTTTTACCATGTGTTTGTTTCCAACGACGGAAAGTGATGATTTACGCTAAAAGCTCCAAAATTAAATTAAAACTACACAAAAAACAAATTATTATTCTGATTTGATGCCTTATGTGATTTTTTTACCATTACGTCGACAAAGGTTTAATATTGCCATTGGCATTTTGTGACAGATAGTTTTTATTTTTCGGAAGGTGAGATGACTATCATACTAGATGATGTGTCACATTGCTACATTTATTTATAATAGAGTTTTTGAGCATGGACCGCGTGAAAGATGTTTATAACGAGTGTTGTGAGCAACAATAGTGGGAGTGTGCAACACGAACATACTTATTGCATTTAGTTGGATGCACGATTTTCATGAATAAGAGGGCTACCTTGGTCTGTGTATCCTACTTTATGTTTGTTAGAGACTTGCATGCATTTGGCGGATATGTCTAAGGAGTTGTTGCGTTGGCTCCACTTGTATGAACAACTCAAAGATGTTAGTTTTGCTAAGATAAAGCAAATGGCTGGATATCTAACCCTTACATGTATACAAATATCTCGCACTTTGATTTACTTTATATTTTCATTGTTTACCAAGCTTTAATTAATTTTTTTGTAGAATTAGATTTATGAGCACTTCCTTGGGATGGGAAGGAGGCATTTGTTGCTGACTTATGATGAAGACAGACTTGTATCGCACACTTGGTGACAAGGAAGTAGGTTTCAAGTCTACTTAAGGCTAGGGCACTCTTTGGATGGACTGACAAATGATAGGGTCATTTGGTGTCCATATGAGTCACATTAGGCTAGTTGTCCACTTTTGACGATTATTATGTTTTTTTGCTAGATTAGAGTTGGTCAAATGGTTCATTGACATCTCCCTGAATAAGTGTTATGACAATTTGGGTA